GGCCTGAGAAGCGCCGCCGGGGTTTGGGGGGAGTGGCAGGTGACCTGGGGCTTCCCTTGACCTCTGAGAAAGCTTAACAACTTTCTATGGCTTTGCTTCTAGAGCTTTCTTAGGCCCTGTCCTGGCCCACCTCGAGGTGGACTGAGTAATCCGGTACAGGAATAGGACTGGAATCGGGCCTAGTAGGTAGTCCGAGTAGTAGAGAAAGGTGAACTAGATCGAGAGATGAGCGTTACAGTTCCAGTATTAGAAAATAACATGCCCAAAAGCGAAGACTGGACCATAGATAGCACCCTGAGGAGGGATAAGAATGTACTAGAACGTGTAGCGCTTGAGAAACTTAAGGCTTAACTATTTGTGGCACCTGCCTATTCGGTGGTGGATAGTAATCCAGTGTGGGTATTCACTGAACCATTAAAAGCAGGAAAACCAAACAAAAGTTCAACTAGCCAGTGGAGGAAACTGAGCCCTAGAAGTTTGAAATGACTGGCCCAAGGTCATGCAGGTAGTTTTAATGGTCACGTTGGGATTGCAACTTGAGGACTAGGCAGTTTTAGTTTCTTAGTTCAAGCACTTACCTGCTATTGTGGGGGAGAGGGAATTTGGGAGATTGTCTACTTTAGTTCTCATTCCCTAATAGTAGATGAATGTCTGATGGCCTTGTATTAAATTAAGAGGTGTGGAAATGGGAAGTTGGATATATAGTAAAGATTCAGTGGATAGTAATTGCAGTGGCTTCTTTTGTAGTCTGAATGCCTTGGTCCATTACACTGACAATAGTAATTTTGGGTTAAATCCTGTATGCAAGGACTGAAGACACATTCATGGCACTAGAGACTGCTGATTGTGAAGTTAAACTGAGCTGAATATTAAAAGCTTGAGGACAAAGGTGAGCTACAGTTTCTTTACCCTGAGGAAAGGAAGATTCTGCCCTTGTTAAAATTTTTTTAAAGATTTTTTAAAAAATGATTTGCCATTTTTGGTTTTCTTTTTTAAAGGGGGGAATTGGGTTATCTTAAAAATCATTCTATATTTTCCAGTAATATTTGGAAAGGCATGAGCAGAGCGACTTCCATGTTGTATATGTGCTATAATTAAGCTTATGGATCAGGTAAGGTGCACAGGCCAGACAGGCCCTAATGTGCTGTGTATTGTAGTGAACCATCCACAATAGACGTTAACTGATCCGTCTGAAAATGGGTGTCAGCATCCCTTCTCCACCTTGCTATCTTAACTCCACAGTGCAATTAGCTCCTTATCTTTCAAGGGCCACAAGGCATGTGCATATTGACAGAGCTTTTGACAGTTACCCTGTTGCATCCTTGTCCTGCAAAGGTCACTTGTCCTGCAAGACAGCTTTAAGGGAGGAGAGTGGCAGTTGGTAAGCATAGCTGTAGAATTCTGTGTCCAGCATGGTAACTTTGGAACATTTTTGAAATGGGAATGAGTCTCCTACTTGCCTCACCTTTGAGAGTGCAGACGGTATGAAAGTGTAAGGAACTGGGCAAATAGAATGGGCAGCTCATAAAAAGTCCTAAGAAATAGCTGGGAGGTGGTGGCACAAACCTTTTATCCCAGCACTTGGGAGGCAGAAGCAGGTGGATCTCTTGAGTTTGAGGCCAGCCTGGTCTACAAATCAAGTTTCAGGTAGGCCAGGACTGTTACACAGAGAAACCCTGTCTCATAAAGTCCTAAGAAATAATTAAAGTGCCAGCAATGGTTGGTTGTAGTCTGTATAGATTACTGTAAACTCATTAGTAAAGTGCTGGCTTGCTAAATGCTTTGTTGTAGCTACAAGTGCTAAATGAGAATTAAAAATTTTTTTTAGGTTTATTTTTGTTTTATATGTATGTGTTTTGACTGTATGTATGTCTGTGTTATGTGTGTGCCTGATGCCTGAGGATAGAAGAGGACTTTGGAGGAGGGAATCTAATTAATTTTATATATATTGAGGTATTCAAGTCTTTTTTTTTAATCAAAAATCTCTTAAATTATTGTTAAAAAATGTTTTATGTGTATGGCTGTATATATTTTTAGGTGCCCTTGGAGGCCAGAAGTGGGCATCATATTCTCTGGGGCTGGAATTACAGACAGATGTGAGCTCATTTGGGAACTGAACTCTTGAACTCTTAAACCACTGAGCCATTTCTCCATCCTGGGTATTCCTATCTTAAAGTGAATTAATGGGGGGAAAGTTACTTAAAAAAAATCACTTCCAATGTTTCAGTCAGTGAAAAAAATTCAAGAAGATGGGATGTTGTAGATTTCTTGCCTAGCAAGCTTGAGACACAGGGCTCTAATCCTAGCATATGAACCAAGAAACTGCAAGTCGCCGAGCATTGGTGGCACATGCCTTTAATCCCATCACTTGGGAGGCAGAGGCAGGCAGATCTCTGTGAGACCAGCCTGGTCTCCAGAGCGAGTGCCAGGATAGGCTCCAAAGCTACACAGAGAAACCCTGTCTCGAAAAACCAAAACAAAAAACAAACAAACAAAAAAACTGCAAGTCTAAAAATGTAAATAAGATATTAGAGATCTCATTTACAGAGCAGGTCACATATCGAACTATTTGCTAGGATGTTACCCCCTTCCTCCCCCCCAAAAAATTATTGAGGATTGAATTTAGGGCTTTGAGTTTAACGATTAGGAAAACAATACCACTTAGCTATATCCCTAACTGCCAAGGTGATCTTACTTCTTGGCTCACTTATACCTCCAGCTCCAGCTTCCCAAGTAACTGAGACTAGAGGAGTGTGCCATCCTGGGTACTTGTCTTTTTTTTTTTTTTTTTTTAATAGATGGGCATTTATTTAGAGCTGTATGTATTTTTCATTATTATTATTAATTGAGACAGGGTTTCTCTATATAGACTCCCTGGTTCTCCTGGTACTCACTTTGTAGACCACTCTGTAGACCACCTGCCTCTGACTCTCCAGTGGAGTGCTGCGATTAATAGCATTCACCACTGATGCATAGCAAATGATTTTTTTTAATAATTTTTTTTAAAGATTTTATTTATTATGTATAGAACAGAAGAAGGTACCATATCTCATAACAGATGGTTGTGAGCCACCATGTGGTTGCTGGGAATTGAACTCAGGACCTCTGGAAGAACAGTCAGTGCTCTTAACCTCTGAGCCATCTCTCCAGCCCAAATGTTCTGATTTTTACAAGAGATTTTACTACATTTACTTTTTGTGCATGCATGTGCAATGGCAATGAGGACATGAATGAAATTAGTATGATTTTTGAGAGTTGGTTCCTCCCTTTTATTCTATGGCTATTAGGGATTGAATTCAACTTGTCAGACTTGACAAGTACCTTTACCTTCTATGCCTTCCTTCTGGCCCTCTTAAGTGTTTTGTTGTCATTGTCCCAGACACCCCTCCCCCCTAGGGTTTCTCTGTGTAACAGCTCTGGCTGTCCTGGAACTCATTCTGTAAAACAGGCTGGTCTCAAACTCACAGAGATCCGCTGCCTACCTCTGCCTCCTGGAATAAAGGTACGTGCTACCATTGCCCAGCAACAATTTGTTTTAAGTGCTTATTTTTGGGCCAGCAAGTTAGCTTAGTGGGTCAGGGCACTTGCTACCATACCTAATGACTAGAGGTCCATCCCTGGAAGCCACTTGGTGGAAGGACAGAACTGACTCCTGAAAGTTATCCTTGGATTTCCACATGTGCACCCATACCAAATAAACAAATAAATGCAATTAAGTGCTTTTTCCCTCAATATGAAGTTTAGAGTATTTGCCATAAAATTCAGGTGGTGGTGACAAATGCTTTTAATTCCAGCAGTGGAGAGTTAGAGACAGGTGCATCTGTGTGAGTTCCAGGACAGTCAGTGCTACATAAAGAAACCCTGTCTCCAAAACATAAATAAAATTCAGTTTTGGAACCATTAAAAATTGATAAGTAGAAATATTAGTAAGCAATATCTAGTAACAGTAAACAGTCACTACTAACTGTGAACATAGTACAACAGGCCTTATAAGCAGTTTACGTATGCTTAATTCAGCAGTTCTAAGACATAGAAGTTAGTATTGACTTAGAGAAGAAATAGGTCCAGAGGTTAGTAGTTGACCCACGTTAATAAGTAGCTAACCAGGGATTGTGTTTTGAATGTGTTCGAAACATTTTTGTGCTCTTGGACAGATTATAAAAAGGTGATAGATTCCCTGGAATTTATGTGGGGATTATTAGGCCACCTAAGGTATTCCCTGCCAAGGCCTAAAATTTTTTAAAGACTGTGCCAGATGAGAGCTGAGGAGATTGCTTAGATGCTGAAGTGCCTGCCCTGTTGTGCAAGCATTACTGCCTGAGTTCAGATTGTAGAACCGTGGAGCTCATTGGCCAGGTGGCCCCATTTGGGCTTAAGGTTCTCTGAGACCACCTGTCAAAAAATAAGGCGAAGGGAGGAAGACACCAGGTTTCAATGGACCTATGTCCTTTGCACACACAAGCCTGCACATGTATTCACATTAGTAGTATGATAGAATGAAGGCATAGCTCACATAGAAATCACATTTTAAGCCAGGCGTTGGTGGCACATGCCTTTAATCCCAGC